TCCTTCGTCCCTCCACAATAAACTCCCGACTCGTTGTCACGTAACCATGGGAGGGAGCCCCGGGCTTCGCCGCAATTAGTCTGGGTGTTATCTGCGTGCAGTTCACCTGGCTCCCAGAAACTGCTGCGATAGGACGCGATGCTACCTTACGAGCCTGACCTTGCTCTCCCAGCGCGGTACCTTGCCTGTTTCATTTCGAGACTGGCTCTCACCTCGCGTTTATCAGCTTTGTCCACCTGCTGGTTGATTGCTACCAGACCACGAGGTCAGGACCCTGCTTCTGAATGCCCACCGTACCACTGAAATCCATCCATCCATCCACCCACCCCATCCTTTCGGTCCAGCCAAGCTTGAAGGGTCCCATTCATGTTATCGTCCCGGATGGAGTGTCACATCATCCCACCAACAGCCCCGTATCCGTCCTGTCTCTTTTAGCTCCCCCATTCACTTGTGCTCGGACCCCTGCCCTGCTACCACTCTCCTCCGAAGAGGGGCGATCGGCGCCGTTGAGATTCAAATATCGGCCCTCTCCTCACTCTTTTTTTGTCCCTTCTCCCCCCTCACGAACAGCTGTGCCTTTTTCCTAGCACGCCTGAGCCTCAAAGTCAAACCGTCCGGGGTGCTTGGTTTTGTTCTTCGTTCCACATCGACCTTTCATCGCAAAGGTCGCCAACCCACTCGTAACTTGTAGACAGGGAGAACGACCCTGCATCTTCAGACTCCAAGTTCTCACGAGACCTTCAACCAGTCCGCCAAGTCAACACTCAACACAATGTCGGACGAGAAAACCGGCCCGACTGAGGTCGCTACCGACGCTCATGCGCCCGCCACGCCTTTGGGCTATGTCCCCCGACCTTCAGGATGGATCTACAAGGGCTTCAACGTCTTCGGCAAGGAGCTCTGGTACGCCTCTCCCCTAGTGCAGCTGCTCATGGTTTCCTTCGTCTGCTTCCTGTGCCCTGGTATGTTCAATGCTCTGGGCGGTCTCGGAGGTGGTGGTCAGGTTGACCCCCATGCTCAGACGGTCGCCAACACCGCGCTCTACGGTGTCTTCGCCGTCGTCGGTTTCTTCTCCGGAACCATTGCCAACGTCCTCGGTCTCCGCTTCACCATTGCCTTTGGTGGTCTGGGCTACTGCATCTACGCTGCCTCTTTCCTGTCGTACAACCACAACGAAAACTTCGGCTTCACCGTCTTCGCTGGTGCGTTCCTGGGTCTGTGTGCTGGTCTCCTCTGGACTGGCCAGGGCGCCGTCATGATGGCGTACCCCACTGAGGAGTACAAGGGACGCTACATCTCCTGGTTCTGGATCATTTTCAACACCGGTGCCGTCATTGGATCTCTGGTACGTGCTTATAGTTTCTTTTGGAGGAAGAAGTTACTCTGCGGATGAACTCGACTTCGGGTCCCACTCAAGCGTGTCTGGGCATCTCAATTTGATTTGAAGCTAACTGATGTATTTGAATAGATTCCCCTCGCTCAAAATATCCACAAGACAGCAGGTCCCGTCACGGATGGCACTTACATTGGATTCATTGTTCTCATGTTCATTGGTCTCGTTCTTGGACTTTTCCTCTGCAACGCAGACAAGATCATCCGAGAAGACGGTTCCAAGGTCGTCCTGATGAAGAACCCCTCGTGGAAGACCGAGCTCGTGGGTCTCTGGGAGACTCTCCGCGCCGAGCCCTGGATCGTCGCCCTGTTCCCCATGTTCTTCAGCTCCAACATCTTCTACACCTACCAGAACAACGGTCTCAACGGAGCCCACTTCAACGTCCGCACCCGTGCCCTCAACGGTCTGCTCTACTGGCTCGCCCAGATCATCGGCGCCATCATCATGGGTTACCTCCTTGACGTTGGCAAGATCTCTCGCAGCCTGCGCGCCAAGATCTGCTGGGCTGCCATCTTCGCCATCACCTTTGTCGTCTGGGGCGGAGGTTACGCCTGGGAGATCAAGCAGGTCAGCCGACAGGTGGCTTCCACCAAGGAGTACCAGGCCACCAGCCTCATCGACTGGACCGCCGGCGGCGAGAAGTTCATCGGCCCCATGTTCCTCTACTTCTTCTACGGCTTCTTCGATGCCATCTGGCAGACCGCCATCTACTGGTTCATGGGTTCCCTCTCCAACTCTGGTCGCAAGGCTGCCAACTTGGCTGGTTTCTACAAGGTAAGGATATACTCCTTAGGTATAATTTATAAGAAAAATTGGTGTACTAACATGGGGGTAAATAGGGAATCCAAAGTGCCGGTGCCTGCGCTTTCTGGTCGATCAACAGTGATGCCAACATCGAGTACCGCACCATGTTCTACGTCACCTGGGCCCTGCTCGCATTCTCCCTCATCTGCGCCGCCCCCGTCCTCTTCTGGAAGATCAAGGACACCATCACGCTGGAGGAGGATCTCAAGTTCAGTGACGAGACTGCCGAGGATGTCGTTGTCCAGGGCACAGCTGCCGCCCAGGCCGCTGGTGTCTCGGAGAAGCGTGGCGACGTTTAAGTGATATTTGTTTGGAATGAAGTGTACATGAGCCACGGCCTGTAGATGATGCACAATAGGTGGCGACTTTAATAGTAGGATGTCTACTTTAGTATTAATGAGAGATTGTGGGCTTGGCTCACTTATCTATGGGTGCTTTCTCGACTGTGTAGTGTAGTATGGAGTTGACTGTGGGCATTGAGTGAGGTTGTCTTAAGGCATTTGGGTTTTAATCGGACCAGTCACGGCATGCAAATAGGACCGCACGGCACCGAAGAACCTATTTGGCCGTATGGACGAAGTCAAATGTTGATCCCGACCGTTGTGGGACATTCCCTTAGTAATTGAGTGACAGCCGAATGGCCGCAGCCACGAGCAGGTTGACTAATTAGTTTACAGTCGGCTTCGGCCCTGAAAACGAGCGCTCCCCAGAGAAAAAGCACAGTTTATGCGCGTAGAGATGGATCTGGCAGCAGCGCCCGGAAAGATCAGGACGGTCTGACAAATGCTGGGCCTCCGATAGGCTCGGAGCGCGGCGGCCTTGGCTGCCATGTCATACGACAAAATCGAGTTCGAGGGAGCGTGTGCCGGCTGACCAATGGATCTGTGGGGCGGCCCCCCTCATCCCCCCAATTACAGCGCATGCAAGGCCGCTGCAGCTCCGGTCACAGGCTTTGTTGGGGCGCTGCAGCGCTGCACTGTGGCGTTTTGGGATCTACCTTACCTAAATCTATCCGGCAACCACACACTTCGCCGCCATACTTCTTCTCTCCAGAACCGCAACGACACCAGCAAGCAGCCGAAATCCCTTCCCCCCTCTCCTCAAGCACCCGCCACCTACAGAAACACCAGCTACGCCCTCCCGCGCCTCACCGGGCCTTCGCAATTGAGCGTCGAACACCCTCCAACCCTCCGTTTTGCACCAGCGCCGGGACCTGTCATGAACGCTAGCCAGTCTCCAACGCCTTGCTCTTCATGATCTCGCCATGATTCCCCTACCTCGATCCGTGGCCAGAGTTGCTCTGCGACAGAGTCGCATCAACACCCGACTCTTCGCCGCGCCCAAGAATTACTACTCCTCATACCACTCCTACTCGCTGCCTTCCACCTCGCCAACTCCGCCGAGCAATGACGATATCCCCGAGACGTCACTCAGCCATCCCGAGCCGCTCCCCCGAGTCCACGAAACTCGCCCACCGACCATACCCGCGCACCACCAGCAGGCCCTCAACCCCCAGAAGCAACAGAAGCAGGCTGCCACCCCCGTAGAGAAGCCGGTTGGACCTCCCGTGGTCGAGGCGGCAGCCGAGCCGCCAAAGACCAAGGCCAAGGCGCCTCGCCCGCGGCCCAAGCTGCGGGCTCGCAAGGCGGCCATGACGCTGACCCCGTCGGCGGTCGAGCAGCTGCGCTCCCTCCTGGACCAGCCCGAGCCGAAGCTGATCAAGGTCGGGGTCAAGAACCGCGGCTGCAGCGGGCTGGCGTACCACCTCGAGTACGTGGAGAAGCCGGGGGCGTTTGACGAGACGGTCGAGCAAGACGGCGTCAAGGTCCTGATCGACAGCAAGGCGTTGTTCAGCATCATCGGGAGCGAGATGGACTGGGCCGAGGACAAGCTCAACCAGCGGTTTGTGTTCAGGAACCCCAATATCAGTACGTTTTAAACCTTTCCTCCCCCCTCCGCTCTATTCTCGAATTTTCGCACTAACACAATGGGCAACAGAGGAAGAATGTGGATGCGGAGAGTCATTCATGGTTTAGAGGGATATTACTGTTTCTAAATTACAATTCATTTGCGACACATTGATATAAACATGATGGGAGGAAATAAAGCCAAGGCATGGCCCGGGTTTCATGAAGGGGGATTCATTCATGGGGAAGCTTCTTTTTTCTGTTTTGGATATCGCACTCGGCAAACGAGGCGAGAATGAAGCAACATTACTGTACGGCATCAACGGCGTTTACTGGTTAGAGCGGCAAACAGACCGCTGGATGTTACTTTACTTACCACTCTATAAATCGTGAATTTTATTCGACTCAAGACTTATCCGTTTCTCGGATGCATCATATCCCGCTTTCTGTCCTGCCCCCTGTCCACACCTAAATATGACGACTTGTAGAATGAAAAAGCTACTTTATGGTTCGTATATGACTATTTTGCTTTTTAATCAAATTGCTACCTGGTGTTTGCGTAGATGCGGTGGTGTTGCTCTTGAGATCATTGGCACCGCCCGCCAGACGCTAAATCGTCATCCGAAACCACCACTCATGTGACTTGGTGATGGTAGTTGCTCTTGATATCAGCTTCGTGCGCGCCGCCGCTTATAAATGACCAGAACGTCCATTGCAACTGGACTTTCTCATTACAACCTGCTTTTTATCTCTTTTACAGACATCTCATTCAAACATCTTCACCGGTACTTTTTAACAGACAATTCACCGCAACAAATTACATACAAATCCACCACAACATCACATCACACACAACTCCTCTCTTATACCGCCACAACCTCACATTCACGCCCACCATGACCGCGACAGAACCTCCCCAAGAAGCAACCCCAACGCCAGAACCTCCCCTCACCACCACTCCCTACAAACCCCCCCGCGTGGCCAAACCCACCCCCCAGCCCGACGACACCTCAACCCAGCTCGCCCTCATCGCCGCCTCCCACCGCACCCCCTTCGAGAAGCGCGTCTGGACGGCCCTCTGCGCCATCCCCCGCGGCCAGTTCACCACCTACGCCCTCCTCTCCGCGCACCTGGGCACGTCCCCCAGGGCCGTGGGCAACGCGCTGCGGCGCAACCCGTTCGCCCCCGGCGTGCCCTGCCACCGCGTCGTGGCGACGGGGGGCACGCTGGGCGGGTTCAAGGGCAAGTGGCCGCGGAGCGGCGAGGGCATCACGCTGGACGAGAAGAGGCGGCTGCTGAGGGGGGAGGGGGTGCGGTTTGATGGGGGCGGGAGGGTGATGGGGACGCCGTGGGCTTTTCAGAGTTGAGGGACTGCTTGGTTTTACTATGTCTGGCTTTTTAATTGGGTTTACTCGTTGTGTTTACATGGCTTGGACTTGATGGTCGTTCTGGGGGCTCTTGAGCAATGGAGTTCAACGTTTGGGATTACATTGGGCTTAGACCGGCAGTTCATCTCATGTAATGGAATGGATAGACTTGGTCAATCCAATGCCTGCAGATTTGAAAATTTGGCTGGTGGGACACGGCTAGCATCGCTTATAGCTCGTGGCTAACGAGGCAGAAAACGGAGCGAGACCTCGGCAAATGGGGCCCGTACGCATAGGGATCGCCAATGCAGTTTGCAACCAGTTGTGACCGCGGAAAGTCGGTTCGGCAGTGGGATCTTGCATAACCATGATCGGGACGCAGATACATCACATCTGACTTGTCCTTTACCAATCAACAATTATCAGGTCGTTTTGAAGAACATAAGGAAATATAGAGGTGTAGGCTTGGATAATTAATGAACACAAATATGGCATCAGCATCATCGATAGCATAAATATGAGCAAATACCCATGTGAAATACCTACCAACAGCTGATACCTTTGATGCCCTACTTTGATGCTATTTGCCCTATTCAATCACCAACTTGGTGCGGCATCCGGCTAAGGACAGCTCGGGTCAAACTTTGTCCGAGAGATTTCTGGGTCGGTGCCGGCGAAACCCGGAGACCGACATTCTGCCGCTGCAGGATGGTATCCCTAACTAAAGTGGTCGAATCACAAGAAAGCAGGAGATAGCTCTTGTCTCGAATAACCATCACCTGCGCATCATCCCTATCCTGGGTTGTCAACCATCAACGATTCTCCCCTCCGACGGTGCTTCTTTTCCCTTTTTTCCTTTTCAGACACCACACAGCCTGCAACCATGTTTCGTCTTGGTAGCAGCCGCGCTCTTGCTTCGGCGTTGAACGCCACCAAGGTACGTTTTCAACCCCCCCTTGCTGCACCTCGACGTCACTGCTACGACCTTTCCAAGCTACAATGGAAGGCCTATATGGTGTCTACATCAAGCTCTCGTTTCTAACAACCTTGTGCAGCTCGCCCCCTCCGTCAGACTGCCCGGTGTCGCACAGCAACGCAGAGCTCTGAGCATCCACGAATACCTCTCCGCCGACCTCCTGAAACAGGTAACGCCAACATGCCACTTCCGCAGGCCATAATCGCACCACAGATAAAACTAATACAGACGGTCATCTACAGTATGGAGTTGGTGTTCCCAAGGGCGCTGTCGCCAAGAATGCTGAAGAGGCCAAGGCCGTAGCGAAGGAGATTGGGACTGAGGACATGGTCATCAAGGCCCAGGTCCTGGCTGGTGGCCGTGGTAAGGGCACTTTCGACAACGGTCTCAAGGGCGGTGTCCGTGTCATCTACTCTCCTCACGAAGCCGGGGTGTTCGCCGAGCAGATGATTGGCCACAAGCTCATCACCAAGCAGACCGGCGCCCAAGGCCGCCTGTGCAACAGCGTCTACATCTGCGAGCGCAAGTTCGCCCGCCGCGAGTTCTACCTGGCTATCCTCATGGACCGTGCTACCCAGACCCCCGTGATCGTCTCGTCCTCCCAAGGAGGTATGGACATTGAGACCGTTGCCAAGGAGACCCCCGACGCCATCAACACCACCTACATCGACATCAACGTTGGAGTCACTGATGAGATGGCCCGTGACATCGCCACGAAGCTGGGCTTCAGCGAGCAGTGCATCGAGGATGCCAAGGACACCATCCAGCGCCTTTACAAGATCTTCCGTGAGAAGGACTCCACCCAGATCGAAATCAACCCCCTCTCCGAGACCTCTGACCACCAGGTCCTGTGCATGGATGCCAAGTTCGGTTTCGACGACAACGCCGACTTCCGCCAGAAGGAGGTCTTTGAGTGGCGCGACACCTCCCAGGAGGATGCCGACGAGGTCCGTGCCGCTCAGTCCGGCCTGAACTTCATTAAGCTCGACGGCGACATTGGCTGCCTTGTCAACGGTGCCGGTCTTGCCATGGCTACCATGGACATCATTAAGCTGAACGGCGGTCAGCCCGCCAACTTCCTGGACGTCGGAGGTGGTGCCACCCCTGCCGCCATCAAGGAGGCCTTCGAGCTCATCACCAGCGACTCCAAGGTCACCGCCATCTTCGTCAACATCTTCGGCGGTATCGTCCGCTGCGACCACATCGCCATGGGTCTCATCCAGACCGTCGAGGCCCTCAACCTCAAGATCCCCATCATTGCCCGTCTCCAGGGCACCAACGTCGAGCAGGCCCACCAGCTCATCAACGAGTCAGGCATGAAGATCTTCTCCATCGACGACCTCCAGAGCGCCTCTGAAAAGGCCGTCCAACTGTCAAAGATGGTCAAGCTTGGTAAGTAGACCCCTTGGATCCAGTCCCCACAAAAACCTTCCGATTTCCCCTGGTTCCCGTTGCTGATGTGGATATTCGTGTAGCTCGTGACATTGATGTCGGTGTCGAATTCACTCTGGGTATTTAATTTTAAACATAGACGGGGCTGGCTGCGTTTTTCCGGTACATATAATATTTTGTCATGGTGAAAGGGCAGGCAGGTATGGGCGGTTTTAAGTAAAGGCTTCAGGGAAACGGATCGATACAGTGTCTGCTCTTCTGTCGCGTTGTCCTCGTTTCTGTAATAGCATCTTCTTCAACTGCATGTCAATGCCAACGGACGGTTGGCAAAGGGCCATCGCTTAGACTTCCAGTTCGTCTTTCCTTGCCATAACCCTATTATGTTGTTCCGTGGCTCGACATGTGCTTCGGTAACAAGTGAAGGTGGACACTCATGGGGAAGAAGGAGTACTGATGATGGCTGATGAAACATTGGGAGTCAGTGAGCGGTCTCGTTAGGCACAGTCGTGTTTGCCTAACTCATGGCAGGGCTAGGAAGCTGGGCTAACCCGGGCCAACCCGAGAAGGTCAGGGAACGTGTCAGAACTTCGCACGTCATAGAGCACATATCTCAAGGCCCGCAGCGGCTGGAAGATGGGTTCGGGGTGGTGGTGCAAGGGACCACCGCAGACGGAGCACATTCTCAGGGCGGTCTCGAAGGCAAAGCAGAGGCCATGGTATTCCGATTAGCCGTGTCCGCCATCCAATCAGGGACACCTGTCGCAGATAACTCGGGAAGCCCGCAAAAAAAAAAAGTGAGGCCGCTGCCATGCCTGGTCGCGCGAGAAGGAAAACCGGCATGGACGAGAGACAGGAGGGTATTGGAGACCCACAGGCCCGTCAATATCGGTATCAGACGGCGTCTAACTGATATCAAAGACGTAATTAGGTGTTGGGCCTTTGGGACCCATGTAGGCTCCTTCTATCAGCGTGGTCAAGGACCTAGGGGTGAGATAATGGGGACTCGTGAGCGATGAGGCGCTTCGAGGGCAGCACGTTCCTCTCACATCATGAGATCAGTGGGCTGTAGACGGGTGTGCTTTTAAGAAAGTCATGAATCGAGTGCTGATTGGGCGCTGGGCATCCTGCACAGAAGCTCGGAAGAAGGCAAAAAGAAGTTCCTTGACGTTCGTTGAGGGAGGCAAAGGCTCTAATAGCCGAGCGAGGGACCAAGAAGTAGGGCCCGTCAGAGTGGATGCCGGAAGGTCTCCGATCCTCCGAGACGGCAGACCCATGCACGAAATACGGCTCAAATCTGCAAGAAGGGTCCCATATAAGTGTCGTGACTTTGAGATGAAAAACTTTGGCTGAGGGCATCTCCGATGTGTCCGAGCGGAAAGACGAGCGATCTTCGATTCTAAGCCGCCTCACGGCAGCATGTTGCAGGTTGAAGAAGCAGTTGGGAGGAAGGCGCTGTATCTCAAGCAGTTCCCGATTCCAGGTCTCAGGCAACTAGCAGCTATGGACGTATTAAACGGAGCCTGGAAAATGCACTTCCAGAAGTCGCAGGTGGCTGTAACTGTGGCTTGGTCACAGCCAGCTTCACAGTAAATTTTTCTGTTGCAGACTCAAGGTGTGGCTCAACACCATTGCTTACCTCGGGTAGCAGTCGGTAATTAACTGGTGATACCCGTTTTGGGTAACTAATCTTTAAGTGGCCGCCACCTTTATTTACGGTGCCTGTCCTGTGCGCTGCCTCTACCCTACCTACCTTGCCAATGCCATGCCATGTACGAAGCTGCCACACACCTCCCTCATGTCAAACATGGATAGGAAACCTTTCTCCTTTGTTGTACTCGATCCCCACCGTGCGGTCCAGCCGCTCCAGGGCCTGGTTGGCTGGGCCCTTGCTTAGATCCCGTCACAACTCCGAGAAGTCTTGAGCTATAAGTATGAGCCAGTGCCCTCGACCTGGCCTCCGTCGGGTGGTGACACCCTTACACCCCTAGACCTGCTCTGTCGACTTCCTCGACGTTCCTTTCCAGTCGAAGGCAGACGTCTGATACACTCACTCACCTGGATTTACTGCTCCAGTCTTCCTGCTTCTCAACACCAGGACCCTTACTACCAGACAGAATGCCTTCTTCGTCACTCAAGAATTGGTTCGCCCGCCACTGCACTCCTCCTCCTCCGCTCAACACGAACCCGATATGCCCGTGTCAGGCTTGCTTCTCTGGTGGTTCATGCAGTAGCTCATTCAGGTCAAAGCCCTCGTCGACACCAGCCCCTCCTCAATTCCAGGAAACCGCTATGAATTCATCGGCAACACTGGTGAGGCGTGACACCGACACCTCATCCCTAGCAAGCTATGCAACAACAATCCAAGTCGAGGAAGCCCCACGCCAGTAGTCCACGCACAGGACGGCCACTCTTGTTTACGAGTTGGGGACCCGGGTGAATGGAGGATGCACGAGGGAACGAGACCCAAGGGAAGAGGGGGCACGAACAGGAAGAAGCAGCCACACTAGTCACGCACATCCCCCCTCACTACATGGGGATTCCCGGAACCGTCTTTCCCCTCATGGCGCCATCATACGTGGAGGAGGGAATCATGTGAGGGAGAAAGGTCATCACGGGCACGGAAAGGAGGGGG